CTTCTAAAGTGAATACAAATACAAAATTTTCTATCCCTTAGTGAGCAAAGTCCAATTGTCTTTCATAAGACCCTACCTTGTGTATCAATACCACTCATGTGGAAGGCATATACAGGCATATACAAAACCTCCAGAGAGTAAAATTTGGGACAACTAAATGGACATAAGATATTTCAAGTAACTATTAAGAACCACATGTGTTAGGACTGGGGTTGTGGTTCAGCGGTATCGTTCAAGGCCCTGGGTTCGATCCTCAGAACCACATATAAATAAATAAATATATTGTCCAATTATAACTAAAAAAATAATTATTAAAAAAAAGAACCACGTGTGTTATATGGCAACAGACCCCCCCAAAAGTCAGGCCTTTAGTACCTTACATTCTTTTCCAATCTACTTAACATAATGCCTAACTCAATTTGCTTAAAATCTAATTTCATCATCTTATCTTTCCCCTGAAATCCATCAAATGGCTTTCTATTCTTCATCACCAAAGGACTCAATATAGCATCATGGTTAACAGAATGGATTCTGGAACTAAATGGCCCAGATTCAAATCCTGGTTTAATTGCTTAGAAGTTAAAATATATATATATTTAGAATATAATATATATATATATATAATATATATTTTTAAGTAAGTTCTTAGCCTATACCTGAGTTTCTTTATTTAAAAAAAACAGACACTAAACAATAAGTCTTGCATCATTTTTCTAATGATTAATATATGTAAAAATACTTAGAACAATGCCTGAAACATAATAAAAACCATATAAGTATCAGTTGATATTAAATTTTATCATTGTCTTGATCAATTTCAAGCTCTTCAACCCAGGAATTGAAAGGTCTTATAACAGTCAACCTCCTCTCCAATAACAAATATTTATGTATTAGTTTAAAAATAATTATGTATAATTTGCTTCATTTCACTTAATTATCACGATCCTGTGAAGACAACATTACACTTTATGTACTAGCCGGAGCACCCAGCACTTCCCAAGAAAGTCATCTAACTGTCCTGCCATGGGCTCCTGAAGCACGCCCTACAGAGTTGCCAAATGAGAAGCAACTCAACAGAGTTCTACTTTGAGACTTTGTGGGGGTGTTGAAATGTCAGGTCTCAGCTTTCGCTGTCCAAGGTGCTTAATAAGCAAGGCTATCTCCACAGAAGGGCAATCACAGAGGCTCTCCAACCACCAGAGGTCACCAATGTGAATTTCACACACATCCTACAGTTTATATTTTAAGCTTATCTTTTGTATTTACCACTCTATAAGTCTCAATTTAGTGAAAATCTCACTGGTTCTACTGTGAAACAATGAGACATAAATTCCATGTTTTTTATAGAGATAAGAATTTAAGATGACAATACCCATAAACTGGACTATTAGAACCCAGCTCTCCCTATCTGACAGTGCTGCTCATCTGTCAAGCCCTTCAACTCTGCCTCCCACAACTGCAACTGCAACTGCTACTATGTCTGTGAAAGACCCAACAGCCCGGCCCTCCCATCACTCAAGAAATTCCAATTCTGTACTTCTACCGCATGTAACAAATGCCTCAAATGCCTGTACGTGGTTACATAAAAATCTTTTTAAATTCTAGGCTATGATCTACAGGGAGACTGGGACATATAGTTCAATATTCTATTTCATATCCGATATTTTTTAACTTAAGTCATTAGACTAGAAACTCTTTCTTTCACACAACTGCTTCTTGGAGGATAAGATAAAGTTTAAGATAATTTTTTTTTTAATTTTAAGAGGGACTAAAATAGTTATTTCGTTTTAGTTCAAATTTTATTTATAATGAAGTATGAAATTTAATTAGAACTTCATGAACAAGAAAAAAAGTGGTCAAAAGTATGAAGATTTTGATGCTTACCATTTAAAAGCAAAAGGCTTCCTTTTATGGAAAATTAGATCTTACCAAAAGAGATAAAGAGATGTTTCCTTTGGCTACTATAACACAGAACACAGACTAGATGGTATAAACAATAGAAGTTTACTTCTCACAGTTCTGGAAGCTGGAAATCTGAGATCAGTGTACCAGGATGGTCGGGTTCTGGTGAGAGACCTCTAACAGCGTGCAGATTGCAATCTTTTTCCTTGTATCCTCATATAAGGCAAGAAAACTCTCGAAGGTCCCTTTTATAAGAGCATTAACCCCAACTGTGAGGACTCTGCTTTCGTGAACTAATTACCTCCCATATATTTCACCTCCTAAAACTGTCACATGGGGTATTCTGGAGTCACCACAATTTCTGAATTCAAATCCTGAATTTAAATTGCACGTCAGCATTTTCATAAAATTTATTTTTGTAAACACAGAACTACTGAGGCAAAATTATGATGGCATCTGGAGAAAAAGAAGTTTAAACGTGGGAAGGTAGTTGCCATAGAAATACATGCCCAAGCCAAAAAAGAAAGTGTCAAGACTGAATAAGTCAGTCCTGTGCAATGAATTCAACAAAATCATTAAGATTGATTTGAAGTGTTCATGGAAAGGTGAGGTCAATTTTATCTGAGAAAGAATATGGCAGAGCATGGCAGAGCACAAAGAATACCAGGTTAAACAGAACAGTTTAGCTTTTTCCCTGTCATTGCCACTAAAGAGAATAAAGGCATACAGAAATAAAAGATAAAAGAAGAAAACAAAAAATAGCACCACCAGCCACCTCAAAAAACAAACAAGCAAACAAAAAACTCCTTTTCTATTATACTGAGGACCAGGTGCTGAGGAAAAAAAAAAAAACCCAAAGGAAATATGTTTTGGTTTCAGGTAACAGGAGAAAACTCAGGAAAGGAACTGCAAGTTCAGGAAATGCTCTGAACTAGTTTCAACAACAAAATAACAATAACAGCAACAAAAACAAAAGGTGCAAGTATCAATTTAAAGTTAGCTTGAATTATATAAAGGTAATAAAATTAAGAGTCACAGCTAGTTTATTCCAAGAGACTAACAATGAAAAGTGAAAGACTTCTATAAAAGTAAAAAGGAAAAAGTGAGGCCTTAGTAGTGTGGGACTGCCTATGTAGTCCCCAGCAATGCAGACTTTACACAAAAAAGCAAACCAATAAAAAAGAACTGGAATGACTGTTCATCAGGGAAGTAACACTTCTACCTCTGCTTTCATCAACTGTACCAGTCCTGCTCATTCTGGTTTAGCTCCTAACTTTGTGGCTCTAGATCAGGATACAGCTCCACCACTTGGAATGTCATCTGATACCCAAGATCATCATCCTGAACAACCTGTTTCTTTAGACAAAGGTAAACATCAAGTTGCTTTGCAGCACACAAAAAACTCAGAAAGCATAAGTCTAGCACCTATTGTTTTAATAACTGAAAAAGAAATACATATTTTGCTACAGATGTTTATTCTAATATACAGATCAAAAAGAAAAGTCAGAACACTCACTAAAATTATACAAACAGACATCACCAGTTAATCTTTGGTAATGCTGCTCTCAAACGTCACATTTATAATCACCCCATTCAATATTCTAAACTTCATGAAACATGTATTATTTATTGATGAGCAAGATTGTAACCCAAACAATCTAGTTCCAGAGTCTCTGTTCTTACAATGAAACTGTTGACTCTCAAGTTAGTCTAACACTGAAAGTAATAAATCTTTTTTGATATTCAGTTCAGCATTTTTTCTTGTTTGGAGGACAAGCTCTTTCTGTGTCAGAGCTTAGATTAGGTATTATCTTACTGTCATTTAATGAGAGATATGATACTTTAATCACACAAAAAATAAGGATGTAATCTCAGTATGAAGAATAGTCTTTCCCAAGAAAGGCAGCTAGTACTTCCATTAAACATGCCCATATACGTGTATTTAGAAAATATTTCAATATAGGAAATCTCATTGCATAAAACTTTGACTCCACATCAGTTGCAATTGTTTTCTTAATACAAATCAATTTATACATCTGTATTTAGGAGAATAAAACAAAATATTGTTGTTCAAACACCCAATTATTTTTTGGTAACTATGCTTAGTTAAAGCTACACTAAAAAAATAAAAAGTTTTTAAAATTCTAATTATTTTTCTCATAGAAACAAATGGAGAAGTTGGAGAACAAAAGCCCCTTTGGCTTCTCAGAGGACCCCATCAGGGCCACACATCAAGCTGGCTAGGACTCTGAAAGGAAGGTTTAGGGTCATAAAGTACCCCCTACTTTGCATTCCTTCATCCCCTGGCCTAACTGTGCAAAGCAAAGTTTCATCTGAAAGGGAAGTCACAGAGAAACACAAACTGCTTTCACCTAAGATTTACTGGTATTAAGAATCACTATCCTAACTTTTACCTCTGTTTTGTCAAATCGCCAAAAGCTACACAGATCACTCCGCCTCTGAAGAATGGTTTCTGCAGAAATGCAACTTGATATCAGAGGCCTTGACATAGGTCCCACCAAAGAAACCATCTTTGTACTGTTACAAAACACCATTCAGACTTACTGTTCCTTGTGTAAAATCCTATCAAACATAGAAAAAGCTTAAGTTCCCCTATCAAACTTGCTTTCTTCTGCTGAGAGCTATGCAGCCCTCTGGGTGTGTTGTTATCATTTTCCTTTACTATAGCCCTGTGTCTTATGGCATCACTTTTTGGAAATGTGCAAGTAATATACACATATGTGTCAATACAGAAAATATTCAGTCAATTCAGAGAAGAGATGATAGAGAAGTTTCCTCACCTGAACCAGGTATAGAAAGATATAAGTAGATAAGAGAAGAAAAGAAGTTTTAAAGAGAGAAAATAGCATGTATGTGCTTTAGCACAGAGAAATGAAATGCAGCCATATAGGGCTAACTTCCAGTCTGAGTTCTGACATGGAAAGAGCTTGTCCTCCAAACTAGAAAAAAAGGTGAACAGAGAATCAAATAACATTTTGTTTATTAGATTTGTCAGACAATTGAGGAGTTAAGTCAGTCTACCCCTCTGAAATCTGGAGAATGGCTGATATAGAGAATCATAGTCAAGATTAATTTACCTAGAACTGAAGATACTGGAGGAAGTAATTGGTAGGAACACATAAATCGTAATTTTGATGAATTGTTGAAGTCCAAGTGTAGACCAGCTTAAGAATTAACAACTAGAGAAATAAAAGCAGTAAATCTCATCAATCTTATTATAATGCAAGTTCTGAAATGAGCAAATATATTCAAAAGCAACTAATATGTAAGGTAATAATTGTAAGGTAATAATTTGGGTATAATATAAATTTCACACATATAAATATGTAACATAAACATACATTATAAATATACAAGTATGCAATTATATAAATATATAATAATATAAATTTCATATTTAATACATGCAGAAAACTGCACCTACCTGAAGCAAATTACATAGAAATTCAAGGAAATTACAATTTTATATTCCTCAAACATCTTCCAGCTACCTCAGTTCAGAGAATACATTATGAGTTATACTGATACACATCTGCAGTTACAACTTGCCATCCAACATCAGATGACCGTCCTTCCACCGATTGGCAATAATTCACAAACTGCAATTCTTTTGATAACCACTTCTAAAAGCAACATTCAAGACATTTTGAAGTTGAACTGCCATACTTACTATAGTGCTTATGTATTTCTTAACCATTTAAAATGCATAAAACTGTGCTATCATGTAATTAGGTTCTCATCTTTTTGTTTGTTTTTTTTTTTTTTCAATATGCCACTGGCAAAGTTTTTGAGTGCTGTACTCCTGACAACATCTGTTCAGAAACTCTAGGGGTTTTATACCATATTTTGCCTGATATGATAATTTTCAGGAATATAAACGTCGTATTCAAGAAGAGCTAACTGTACAGTAACCACAAGTTAGTGGGAGGGGAAGTCCAACACCTAGAACTGTGGGCTGTTAGCCATTATTATCCCACTTCTACTTCACATCCTATTCTTACATGCCATCTTGTTCTGTAACCAAACTCACCAAAGGTAAAGGTTCTCATCACCCAAGTATGCTCTTAGCTTTCTTGGACAAATTAGAGTAAGAGGGAATAAATTTCTCAACTGTTAAACACACCCCTACTTTCTCCTTTATGACTTCTCTATCAAAAGTTGTTTTACCTTCCATCATATACACTTTTAAAACAAGACTCATTTAATTTTGACATTTGTTTACTGGACTGTACATTCTAAATGTGCCAACATTTCATTTCTGATTATAGTTATTCAAGGACACAGACAATATTTGTGTTTAGCCAGATGGTTTTAGTAAGAGAAATAAGTATAATACTCGGTTCAAGGATATAACCCTAACCACCAATTTCAACAAAGAAATAATAGAAGAATAAAAATAAGGACCTCAGATCAGATGCTCTGACAACACATGCAGCTCAATGAACAAACTGCATTTACATTCATTGTGCATGTTTCACTTCCAAACAGCATACAAGGTCAAACTACTGTCAGTTACAATAAGCTTCTAAACTTCTGGTCAATTACCTGGTTAATAACAAAAGACAGGGCTATGACATTATTACAGTTATAATTAATTTACAGAGCTCAGCCTCCTGTTAATCAAATACATCTTTAAAAGCATTTAATTATTTTTCGCCTAGAAAACAACATTTAGTTTGTTAAATGAAAAGCACTTTTGCTGAATTCAGCATGAAAGCTGTCAGCCTGCTCTAAGACATAAAGGACAAAAGGCTTCACAGTGCATGATGCTGTACTATAGGAGCTACTGCCACATTCACAACAAACAGAGGTACAAGATGATGGGTAATACAACACATTCTAACAGTTTCTGAACATAAAGAAGTTGTCAGGGAACTGGGGGTAAATAGATAGGCTCTGGGAAAAGCAATGTCCCAATGCCTTTTGTCAAAATTATATACAAGGCTATGATATTAATGTATGCAGTATTGGACAGTATAATTAAAGGCATGGCCCTTGTTAAAGCTCAAAACAAACTAGCCATGTGACCTTAGGACAGTTAACTGCAGTGTCTACCCTATAAGAAGAGAAAAGACAGGGTCATTTGGTATTAAATGAAATTTCATAAATATAACCATAAATTGGACAATGATAGTGTTTTATGCATTTAAACAAATAAAACTGAAGATAAAAAGTTTTAAACTTTTGAAGCATTTTTTACAAGAGTACAAATTATTTTCTAAGACTTTCTATAATCCTATATTTTTAAACTTGAGTGATTCAGTTATACATTTACATTTAAAACCATAAAATAGAGTACATGCAAGAAACATGAAAGAAAAAGATTTTAATTAAAATAAATTTTATAATAAAATCTCAAATAAGAGTTTCTATCAAGATTATCTGATGATTTGAGAATTTAATGAGCCTCCATTGTTTTATGTCAGCTGGCATAAATTTTTACTTTCCCTCCTTTTAAGTGTTATAGTCTTAACAGAAATTATTAGACTACATTTACACATAAAAAGTGACTGAAAAAATGAAACTACTAGATTTGGTATATAATTCTGAATTTTGCTCCACAGCTAGGTGAATTAGTGCCAAGTCCAATTCTGACCCATCACCACTTATGATTTCCAATATCAATCATAAGCCAGTTCCTTCTCTTTTAGACCACAAGTTTTAGTGTAATGAGAGCTCATTAAAGTTCTCCCAACTGACAGCCCTTCAGACCAAGGTTTTTAAACTAGGAGTCACATGGGGAACCACAATGCCAGTATCCCATGATCACTCTCTTCAAGAAGATTTAAGGAATTCTATTTTCATGTTTGCTCCACATAATATTTCTTTGTCTACCTAAAGTCCATGAAAAGCGATAGACACTGACGACACCACCACCACCACCACCACCATCCCTCATTTAATCCCTGTGTAAGAACTGGTTTTGAATTATTTATGAGACTGAAATCTTCTCTGCACAAGAACTAGTCAAGAAGTGGGGAGAGCATGTCAGACTTCAAAGACGTGTTATGTTCCCAAAACACATAGGACATCCACAAATCACTTAGTGATAGGGGACAGGTTAGGAATTTTTGCCTGCCTAGCATCAATACCCTATTCTTCCAGTAACAGGAATCCATTCCCCACCTCTATTAAATATGGTCTTGAAGGAGAAGAGGGGACTGTCAATAAAAGGTGACCTTTCCTATATTGATTCAAAGGTGACAATGAATAAACAACTCTCTGGAATTAGAACTAGGACAGAGAAACTAGGACCAACAATTTTGGAGCTGACACTCAGAACATTAACTTGAAGAGCCTTCCAGACCTACATAATCTACTCAAACCTTGAGAGGTCACCTAGCTGCTTATGTTTACCAAGCAGGTAGAGTCTGGATTTTCTGTTGATTCTCTGAGCTGATCCACACAACTCCAATAATTTGTTGTTCTGACTAAACTATTTGGTAACTCAGATAACCTGGTTTCTACTGTTTATAAATGAAGAACCCCACCCAGAATAATGACATTTGCAAAGGGCTGATAAACAGATCCTAGTTTAAGCACCACCAACTCCCATTTCTACTGAGTACAACACTAAAGCCCATAGAAAAACCAAAATGCAGAAGTTACACAGGCTGTATCTCACATACTATTCCTAAAGAAAGCAATAATACACAGAACTAATGATGTGAGCATGAGAGCAATTTCTGCACAAATTAGACAAAGTCCTCTCAAATAGGTGGTGTGTAAACCTGGACACTGGATGAGGAATGATGCCTCAAAAGGAAAACCAGACAATCTAAAATTTATACAAAGTTGATATTTTTAAAGAATACTTTTAATTATTGAATTGATTTTCCCAATACTGGATCTCCTGCCTTTGTTCATCATTCAAAAGAAGTCTAGTATATACATTTAATAAAATGTTATCACTCAATAAAAGGTTCTGCCTAGAACTTCAGAACAATCAAATCATACAGATCCATCAGCCCCTATTCCCCCCACAAAAAAACTGAACACAAAGCTTCTTCAATCTTTTCAATATCATGACCTTCAGGAAGAAACATGAAAGGGTACTACATGGTTTTCTACAAAGAGATTTACTCCTTCACTTTTTTACTATCATACAATTCTTTAACAAATACATATCATCACATTTCTCCAAACATGAACCCAGAAAAGAAAACCAATAAATGTAAAACTATAGCAATAAGCACATGATTTTGTATCTCTCCATCTACATCCCTTCATTTAACAACTATTTGAACATCTGCCTATAGAGACAAGGGCTGTGCTTTTAGGAAACCACAGTTTAGAGAGAGAAGCAAAGATACAAACAGCAACATTATCATATGATGAAGAACTAAATTAAAAGCATGATCTCCAGGACATATAAAGAATTCAAAAAACTTAATACCAAAAAAATAAATAACCCAATCAATAAATGAGCTAAGTAACTGAACAGACACTTCACAGAAGATATATAACGGATCAACAAACATGAAAAATGTTCATCATCTCTAGCAATTAGAGAAATGCAAATTAAAATTATCCTAAGATTTCATCTCATTCCAGTCAGAATGGCAATTATCAAGAATACAAGCAATCATAAGTGTTGGTGAGGATGTGTGGGAAAAGATACACTCATACATTGCAAATTGGTACAACCACTATGGAAGCAGAATGGAGATACCTTAGAAAACTTGAAATGGAACCACCATTTGATCCAACTATCTGACTCCTTGATTTATATCCAAAGGACTTAAAATCAGCATAGTACACTGACACAGCCACATCAATGTTTATAGCAGCTCAATTCACAATAGCTAATCTATGGAACCAACCTAGATGTCCTTCAACACATGAATGAATCAAGAAAATGTGGTACATATACATAATGAAATATTACTCATCCTTAAAGAAGGAGAAAATTATGGCATTTGCAGTTAAATGAATGGAACTAGAGAATATCACACTAACTGAAATAAGCCAATTCCAAAAAACCAAACGTTGAATGTTTTCTCTGATGCTGATCCATAGTGGGGCAGGGACAGAAAAGAATGAAGGAACTGTGGTTTATGTAGCGGGGTGGGAGAAATGGGGTGGGATTGTGAGGATGGGAAAGGCAGCAGAATGAGACAGATATATTACCCTATACACATGTATGATTACACTACTAGAGTGACTCTGCACCATGTACAGCCAGAGGAATGAGAAATTGTGCTCCATTTGTGTACAATATGTCAAAATGCATCCTACTGATATGTATAACTAATTAGAACAAATAAAAAATGGCAACAACAAAAAAAACTTTATGTAAACCAGGTATGGGGGCACATTCCTGTAATCCCAGTGGTTAAGGAGGCTGAGGCAGGAGGACTGCAAGTTCAAGGCCAGCCACAGCAGCAACTGAGCAAGGCCCTGAACAACTTAGCAAGACCCTGTCTCAAAAAAAAAAAAAAAAAATTACAAGAGCTGGAGATATTGTTCAGTGATAAAGTGCCCCTGGGTTCAGTTCCCAGTACTAAAAATAACAATACCCCCTCCCCCCAAAAAAGTATGTAAAGGAGCATGGAGTATTCAGAAAACAATAAAAATAAGTTTCAAAAGTTTTATATATGACATAAGGAAGAGAGAAAAGGAAATACTAGATATTATCATATGGGCAATGAGGAAGAGGATGAAATGACTCTTGAAAACCCATCACGAAAAACAGTAATGAAAATGAAAATTTTCATTTCATGAAAATGAAAGAATTTCTTTTTCAGTTATTAAGTGGTATATAGTAATTTTGAAAACTAAAAGGTTCCCTATTAACACAAAATTAACATTCCTTGAAAGAAAAAAATATCCTTTAATATACTGGTATGAAGGAAGAGTAATATGGGCAAGATGCACAACATTTCTAAATTTGTTCAAATTTAGAATCACAACTGATTCATTATAACAAACAACATTTTAAGAATTGCTGGTACTAGTAAGATTAAAAGGGTGACAAAATTTCTTTCATTGTTGCCTATGAGACTTTTTCTCCCAAGGGAAAAAACCCAAATTATACATAGCTGCCAAAACACACACTCCTATTTATTATTTATATAAACTTGAAGGCACTGTATTATGTATATAAATTTCATTCATTACTATCCTGATGCTGTGGTTTTGGATTAAAAATGCATAAGCAAGTTAGCACAATGAAGAAATAGCTGTTGGTGTAATGACAACATTCCTGGAACTAAAACCACAAGAACTAGGGTCAAATACACATACTGTCACTTACTAGTAGGTGGCCATGGGCAAATCATGTAATCAATCGTTCTGAGCTTCTGTTTTTCTATCCCGATGAGAAAAATTCCACTTACTTCCTAGAGTCATTGTGAAGAATAAATGAAATAGCATATTACATGAAAGTACACTACTAAATTTTGTGTTTCATCTTCCTTTCCTCTCCATAAAGTAATGAGCCTTTCCCCAGTGGAACTAGACTTTATTGCTTTGTAATTATGATGTGCATGTAACAATGTCCAAGAAACTAGATGGTAAATAACACCAACACACAAACCTGAATGCATACACTGTTAGCTGGCTATCATCTAGATCCCAAAGGACTCTTGCACACTATCTATTGCATCCCAGAAATAGGATACATATTCTTTTCTGAATACAGCCAAAATTATCCATCATGATGCTACACAGAGCAGCTGGCTGATTGAAAGTGACTCCCCCTCCCCCATACCCCAGCTGTCACCAGGAAACCCTCCCCAACCTGTGAAAAAAGACAATGTACTATTACTATTACCACTATTAATAACAATCTAACACTTAGCATCTGAAATTATTTTTCTTATGAAAGCTCATTATTAACCATAAAAAAAAACTTGATCATATAAATGCAGGACAGCTGCCTTTACAACAAAATATGGTAGATAGTAAACACAAATAATACTGTATATTTTCTTTGACTCCCCCCTTTTCCCTGAGTCATTTGTAATGCTAAACGGCAGTTACTTAAAATACTAAATAGTTTTAATAGTGATACAGCTGTCACAACTTGAGATACTTTTTTAAAAAAAATCTTGATTTCTCAAAAATATGCACAGAATCCCATGGTTGTAAAATATGGGTCAAATCAAAAGCTACATTGGGGGGGAAAAAAACTACTCACAATGCTGAAGGAGAAGCTATACATAAGCTGACACTGCTGAAAACTGGGAACTGTCATCAATGCAAGTTTGTGAATCCCATTCACCAGAATTCTTAATGTCATTAATTTTTAGGTATAGTTCATGTCCTGAGATTTTTCTATCCCTCCAGTAGTTTCCTGCCTAGTTCTTGAGAATACTAGCTTCCCTCACTGATAGGGAAATATCACTGATCAGTGGACTGAATAGGCACCCTATGACTTCTATTTTATAGAATAAAAAAGTAATGCTGGAATGATGTCAATTTGTCTTAATAGATACAATCAGTACATAGTAGGGGCAGGATTCAAAGCCCGGTTTGTGTGACCCCAAACCAAAGCAGGGTTTGTGTGACCCCAAACCACTGCCACACATTTGTCTCTCTCATATGGAGAATAAGAAATTATCTGGGGCCTTTGAAAAACAAATGTTTCATGATGGGGTAGTATCAATTTGTCAAGGGGAGGGTCAACAAAATTACTTAAGAATCTGATATCCAAAGTGACATGTTTATATGAAAACTCTCACCCACAATACACAGTGTTCTCTAATCAAAGCATTGTATTGCATAGGCCATGGTTTGACACTGACCCGTCTCAACACTGCAATGAGCTAAGGCTTTAGGGTAGTAGCTTCAGATATCAAATATTTCTTTTTCTCACCCTACAATGGCGACTTGAAAAAGGAAAGGAATAGGTATAAGAAAACACTGCATCCGACAATCTTAAAAAAAAAAAAAACCAGCAGGATGAAGGTACATCTAGCTTAACTCCTGTGATCCTTCCACAAAATGGAAGTATGGAAAGTAGATATGAGGCCTATTTGCTATAGGGGAGCTGTATGACATACAGGAACAAAAGACAAGGACAGATTTTCATTAGTCTTGGTTTTTTGTTTTGTTTTGATTTACACTAATCACTACTCTATAATGCTTTTCAACTCTAAAGAAAGTATTTACCTCTAGTCTCTTCCAAGTTTTGGGTCAAAAGAACATAACTGCAACTAAGTCCACGAAACCAGAAATAACAAAACATTAAAACACATCGCAACATAATTACTGATTCTACAATACTACAACCTTAATAGCGTTAGTATTAGAACTGCTCTTTTAACAGAATACCCTGCATCCAACAATCTTGACTACTTACAATTTAACAGAATAAATACCCTCTAAGCCCTGCTTACACTCCTCTAATGCACAATTCTTATTTAACCCAACAAAGAATCCTTCCAACACAATTCTCATACTAATTTCAGGTAGTCCTAACGTAATAACAATATCTCACCTTTGGTGAGAATTTTATGAATTGGTGACAAATGCTTTTGTTCGTTTTCACATGGCCCATGAAGTAACATTTCAGTGACTTGTCCAAGATTCTATATCTAGGTTACACTTGAACTTAATTCAAATCCCCCTGTGACTCCACAATGGGCGTTATCACTAATGTCAGTCATTCTGAAATCTTAGCGCCTGATGCACTGGGAATCAAATGGAAGGCTTGCTAAAATAATCTCTAATTTGGGATAAAACGCCAAAATTTGCATTTCCAACAAGTTCCCAGGTGATGCTGATGGAACAACATAGGAACCAATGCATCCCTATAATTTGAAAGATCACTTGTTTTCCCAAGTCCAGACCAGCAGCAAGGCAGAAGCCTTCAATGTTTTATTAGAAAAGCGGAAGGGGGCGGGGAGACACACAAGAGTTTTCAAAGCTTTTTTAAATGCAATTTCAAAGAGAAAAAAAAATTTAGTGCCACTTAACTACCGCAAGAGACCTACGCAGCTCAACAACGGAATCATAACTATGCGACAATTCGCTTTGATAATAAGCTAAGTTTTCAAGAGTTTATGCTCAGTTTGGAAAAAACATAAGCATGTGATGATCCACTTCTGGAAAAAGTATCCAAAGGTTTTTTAAGGTCTGAGCAGAAGAGGGTTAAATCCGCTTGGGTGGATTTCCCTTCTCCTAAGTTAAATATCACATCTGAAGTTAGGATTCGATTTGGCACAACTTGTTTAGAGGTACGGGTTACTGCCCTGTGCTGACGCAACGTGGCCGTAATCGTCCTATTTTCAAAAAGAACCTTGCAGAACTCCGTTAGACCCAACCCCATCCTGAGCGTCTCGGAACTTCGTCCCGGGTGAGGTCGGCCTCTAGCACAGAGAGGGCAACGACCAGGAGACCCGGGGTACAGTCGCGGAAAGAAAATCCGACCCGCCCTCAGACCTAGGGAGAAGCGCGCAGGAGCCAGAGGCGGCGCCTCCAACCCAGCCCCGCGCCAGCCCCCTCCCCCGCGGAGGCGCCGACCGCCGCCCCGCAACCCCCGCCCAGCCGCCAGCCCCCGCGGCCCAGGGAAAACGGGAGTGAAGCAGCGCAGAACCAGCTACGCGAGAGGGGCCAAACAGACGTGGAAACTCACGCTCTATGGCCCGCCTGCGTCCACACGTCTTCGCACGCACGTGCGTCATCACGCACGGACGCCAATCCCAGACGCTCCTTCTTCTCCGGCTATAGAGGGAGCCTCAGCAGCCTCCCGACGGGGCCCGAGTTGGGGAAGAGAGCCGTAAAGCGCGCAGCCAGGCCGCGGCGCATGCCCAGTTGTGCGTGTCTGGCCGGTGGTCCCCGCGTGCTGGAGGCCGCGGGGTCGCGGCGGGGAAGGACCGCTGCAGAGCGCAGTAGGCTGAGCTTGTTCTTTCTACTCACCCGCAGGATCCGTGAGAAACTTGCGGAATAACACTCCTTATTGTCATAAATAGCTAACAGCCGTCTGCCACGCGCAAAGCAAAGGAGCGGTTGCTTTCGAGGGATCATGGGGAGAAGGGCGAGTTACTGGCCCCCTGGCTCCTTCGGGGCGGAGAAACTGCCTGCTAGGGTCCGGTGGTGCTGTAGGCCCCTGAGCAGCTGCAGGAAGGCCGCTACTGCCTGCGAATGGTTGGTGGGACAGGCAAACTCCTACTTCCAAAAGTTCTCCCCAGAGGGCAGGAGAGCCGCTTATCTCAGCATTAGAAAGTAGGCCAGAGGAACAAAGTCGGGGTGTACATTGCACTCCCTAAAACTTAGCTCGGAGGCTGCACTGCCGAGTCTGTTTGCCTTAATAAGGACTTCACGTGTTAGGTATTTGAGGTCCACGTGTCATTTGTTCACTTGCTGGAATCAGACTAAGTTAAGGGTTATAATGCTGTATTTATTTTATAGGAGAAAACTATCTTTTGGCATAAGATCTTCTAAGACTAGGGGAAAGATGCACTTTTTCCAACAAAGCAACCGAAAACAGGTGGTTTTATCCTGCTTTTTAGTTATTGGCAGTTGTAGCAGCTGTGTTTTGCCTATTAAAACAAAAATTGCCTAAATGGGAAGTTTATTTTCTGTCATTAGTAATTGCCAGAATTCTTTATAGAAAAATTTATTTTTAGAGTTAAAAATTGAAGTGAAAATATGGCCCCTTTACAGGAAATACATATATTGTATCTGAGACTTTAATATGACAAGATTTTCAGTGAATTGCATACTTGAGCTTTATAAATTATTTGTTTAAAAAACACTATGTTGATTAGAAAGTTCCTGACAGAAACTGAATTCCCAGGAAGAGTCAAATGGAAGAGGAAAACAGTAAATTGCCTACAGAAATATTTCCCTAGAGGAAAATAAATGTAATTTCTCAAAAAGAAGGGGTTCCCACTTATCCTTCTGATCCATGACCATATGCATTCATTCAATTAATATTAATCTTTTATTTTTATTACCCACTACACCTTTCTATAATTGCATGATTTTTCTTGTCTTTATCATAATACATCAAATACAAGAGAAATCAAGAGGTCTCAGACCATTAACCTTGAAAAAATGCAGTTGTAGGGATTAAGGATGTACTTGGGTAATGGTATTTCGGTTTCAAATATTATCAGTGAAAGAAATAGGGCTGGAGTTATAGTTCAGCAATAGAGCATTTGCCTCTCACCTGGGAGGCACTGGGTTCCTTTCTCAGTACTGCATATAAATAAGTAAATAAAATAAAGGTCCATCAAATATTATCAGTGAAAAATTTCATAGACATTTAAGGGAATAGAAAAAAGAATCTTCTTAAACCCTCTTTATTCTATATGATTTGTTGAGCACACTAAAATTGTTTTTTAAGTTTCTCATTTGGTATATTGTATCATTCTCAAGTCCCAATTAAACTGGCATGCGCCACCTGGATAATAACTACATATCTTAAACATTAACATGGGGCAGTCAGTAGAATCACTGAACAAGTATTAAAAATACTCAAGAATCAATAACAAAAGTCCTTTAACATAAAAAGCATGTAATTGTTATATCACCTTACAAATAATAATTCTTAAAGCCTCAAAAGTATCATGAGAAAAGATAGCACTATGCTTATTGCATATAATGTGTTTGGTTTTTACTTATCAGTTGGCTTGCTAGTGTTTTTCAAGGCTTAGTAGTTTTCTGTTTGGTTAATCCTACCATTATTGGGAGTAAGATATTGAATTGAAATATTAAACTTTTTTTTTTTTAACTAGGGATTTAACCCAGGGGTGCTTAACCACTGAACCACATCTCTAGCCCTTTTTGTATTTTATTTTGAGATAGGGTCTTGCTAAGTTGCCTAGAGCTTCATTAAGTTGTTGAGGCTGGCTTTGAACTTGCAATCCTCCTCCTTCAGTCTCATGAGCCACTGGATAACATGTGTGCACCACCATACCTAGCTGAAATAAAATCAAACTATTATTATTTAGTTCATTCAATTCTATCGTTTAAAAAAAAAAAATCAGTGCTGTGATGGAAGCCAGGGCCTCATGCATCCCAGTGCTCTATCACTGAGCTATACTCCTAGCCCCTTGATTCATTTTCTGGGATTGCTGTAAAAAGAAAAGTACCACAAACTAGGAGGCTTAAAACAATAGATGCTTGCTCAGAGTTCTAGAGACCTGAAGTCCAAGATCAAAGTATTGACAGGATCATGCTTTTTCTAAAACCTATGCACAATTCAACTCATAGCAGACCTATGTAAAAGTAAAAAAAATTAATACTTCAAAATCCTCCCACAAAAGAAAACTCAGGCCCCAATAGATTTAATGGTGAATTTAATCAAAATTTAAGAAATTATGCAATCATATACAAACTCTGAAAACAGAACTGTTCTCATTTTATGAGGCTGCTATTACCCTGACACCAAAGCAACAAAAAGTCATTACAAAAAAAAGTTACAGATCAGTATTCCTCATGGACATACAAAAATTCCCAGCAAGGTATTAATAAATCCAGCATTATATATGAAGGATTGTTTATGCACTATGACTGTAAGGTTGGTTTTACATCAAAATATCAATTTTAAACACCATACTAACAGACTAAAAGTACACACAATTATTTGTTGGTCCATATGGACTGTCATAACAAAAATACCATAAATTGTGTGGCTTATTAAAAAATTTGCTTCTCAACACTTTTGGAGGCACCATCAAGTCACCAGCAAATTTAGTATTTGGTGAGGGCTTACTTCCTCATAGGTAGCACCTTCTTGCTATGTTCTTACATCATGAAAAGGGGGCATTAGCTCTCTGTGGTCTCTTCAGTAAGGATAATAATCTCACTTATCATGGCCTAATCACCTGTCAAAGGCTCCACCCCTGAATACTATCACCTTGGGGGTTAAGATTTCAACATGAATTTTAAGGGGACACATTCAGATCATAGCATCATCTCTGTATGTGTAGAAAGTCATTATTTTAATTCAACTCACATTTATAATAAAAACTCAAAAGTACTGTCGAGGATGTGGGGAAAAGGGTACACTTGTACATTGTTGGTGGGACTGCAAATTGGTACAGCAAATTTGGAAAGCAGTATGGAGATTTCTTGGAAAGCTGGGAATGGAACCACCATTTGACCCAGCTATTCCCCTTCTCGGTCTATTCCCTAAAGACCTAAAAAGAGCATGCTACAGGGACACTGCTACATCGATGTTCATAGCAGCACAATTCACAATAGCAAGACTGTGGAAGCAACCTAGATGCCCTTCAATAGACGAATGGATAAAAAAATGTGGCATTTATACACAATGGAGTATTACTCTGCATTAGAAAATGACAAATCATAGAATTTGGAGGGAAATGGATGGCATTAGAGCAGGTTATGCTAAGTGAAGCTAGCCAATCCCTAAAAAACAAATGCCAAATGTCTTCTTTGATATAAGGAGAGTAACTAAGAACAGAGTAGGGGCGAAGAGCATGAGAAGAAGATTAACATTAAACAGGGATGATAGGTGGGAGGGAAAGGGAGAGAGAAGGGAAATTGCATGGAAATGGAAAGAGAACCTCAGGGTTATACAAAATTACAAGAGGAAGTGAGGGGAAAGGGAAAAATAATACAAGGGGGAGAAATGAATTACAGTAGATGGGGTAGAGAGAGAAGAGGGGAGGGGAGGGGGGGGAAAGTAGAGGATAGGAAAGGCAGCAGAATACAACAGACACTAGTATGGCAATATGTAAATCAATGGAAGTGTAACTGATGAATTAAATCTTGGAAAAAAAAGAAGTAGGAATGGAACTTCTTCCTCCTAAAAAGGGCATCATCCTTCTAGAGCCAACATTATACTTAAGGGTAAAACACTGAGTGCATCCTCACCAAGATCTGAAACAAGAAAGAAGCACTCCCTACTTTTTTTTGTATGTTTTTTAGTTGTAGATGGACACAATATCTTTATTTTATTTATTTATTTTTATGTGGTGCTGAGGATCGAACCAGGTGCCTCACACATGTGAGGCAAGTGCTCTATTGAGGTACAACCCCAGCCCTGCTCTCCCTACTTCTATTCAACATTGTACTGGAGGTTCAGCCAGTGCCTTAAGAGAAACAACTAAAAGGCATCTGATTGTAAAGAAGTAAAACTGTCTATTCACAGATGACTTGATCCTGTATGTAGAAATTATTAAGAAAAGCATGCGTGTACATGTTTGTGCGCACACATATGCACACAAACTATGAAAATAAGTGACTTTGACATAATCTTAGAATTTAAAAAATAAATGTATTTCTGTATGCTACAAATTGGCATTCCTGGTTTAAGGGAAATAAAATCAAGCAAACAGTTTCATTCCAGCAAGCATCAAAAGAATAAAAATCTAGCCAAGTGGTACAGTCCTGTAATCTCAATGACTTCAGAGCCTGAGACAGAACGATTACAAATCTGAGTCCATGTCTCAAAATATAAAAAGGACTGGGGATGTAGCTCTGTTTAAAAATGCCC